AACCTGGGCTGGGGGAGGCCCATCACTGGCAGCCAGGATGAGGCCAGGCAAGGTGCTGGGCAGCCGAAGCCGCTGGAAGTACCAAAGCAGATTCCAGAAGAGGATGGGATGGGCAGCAGGAAGCTCAGGTAATGCAAGTACCTCACTGCCCTCATTTTCCACCAGAGACTCCAGCTCCTTACGTAGCACCAGAGGACTCAGGTACGCCCACGCCCCACCTTCTACTCTCCTTGGAACACTCTGCCCACCAGGCCCGAGGAGGAAAAAAAGAACTGTCAACTCCGTGCCTCATCTCTAGGATTATGCCTCTCTCTGGCAATCTCTCACAGATAATGCCGTCATGCCCCCATCCCCTAACCAGGTACACGAGCATGATATCACTTCCTGCCCTCCTAAGAAATGAACCCTTGCCCACAGGGTCCACACCCACCCCTGACTTATTCCCAGCCCAATCCTTACCTCAGTGTCTCCATTACAAACAGAGGAATCATCGAGGGCGAGGCAGAGCCGTCGGTCACTGAGGACAGGGCCAGGGCCCCCAGGGATGGGAGCATCTCTATTACTGGCACCTGTAGAGGTGGGTGTACTATGAAGGTCACTGCCAAGCAGACAAAAAAAGGAGTTTAGAAGAGTAGCTTCTGGCTTGTCTGACTCTTCCCCAACTCATCCTCACCCCCCACCCCCCCGACCCTTTAGGTACCGGGGCCTGGAGTCAAGGGTCTGGACACTAAGCAGAGGCACAAAAGGACGAGAGCAGAAGGGGCACGTGGTATTGAGGTTGGAGTCATCCGGTGCCCAGCCTGCCATGATCTCCTCATCATACACTAGGGAGTCACAGGCTCTACACAGAGAACAGCTGGACAGAAGAATCTGCAGAGGACACGAAAGGCAGCATAAGGAGCACCAGGGGGCACCACACCAACGTCCAGCTCCCAGCATCCCCTGCTTTCCCCACCTAGCCTTCCTTCTCCCCATTTCCCAAGCCTGCTCCTCCTGCCTACAACATTCTCACCTCAATGGGGGAAGGCTGGGAGAAAGCAGGGGTGTCACTGAGGCGCTCCGAGGAACGCTGAATGCTGAGGCTGCTGAGGGAGTTTTCGGAGAGATCCCACTCACTGCCCAGAGACGTGGAGCTCTGCAGAGGAACCAGAGGTGGCCGACTTAGAATTCTTCAGCTGGCCGCCCCGAGCCCAAGGGCTCCTCTGCCCACCCCACAGAGGCATTGGACTCTCTTTATGCCGTGTCCAGTGGGCCTTGGCCCACATTCGGCTCTTCAGAGCACCCACCCTCAGACGTGACTGGAAGTGCTATCGCTCCCAAATCCAAAGACAGCAATTCACCCCGTGCTAGTGTAGATGACGGATCCTCTCCCTTGGCTCCCCCAGGTCCTTCCTGAGCTTAGATACCTCAGAGGCAGTGGATCCTGGCCGTTCCCGGGGTCGCAGGAGGCTGTCCATAGGACTTCGTCGGGCTGGGAGGGGCAAGTCTGAGGGCAGCTCAGGTGGAGGGGCACGAGAGGCAGGGCTGCGGCGGGAGGGGGTGAGCAGCTGCTGTAGACGGGCACCTATTCCCCGCCGGGGAGTACCCACTGCATCCTGCCGCTTGCCAGACTTGGGTGCCTGCCCACCCAGCCCATCTAGGGCCTCAGCTGAATGGGCACTCAGAGCCATGCCTGTTCCCCCAGGGCTGCCTCCAGGCGCTGGATCTTCACTTGCAAGGCTTACGTCAGAGAGGCTGCCATCATGCCAGGACAAAGGGGACCCCTGAGGCTCTAGGACACCCAGGGCCTCTATCACTAAGGGAAAGAGAAGGGTCAGGGAGCATGATGCTCATCCTCCAGGCATCAAAACCACTGAGAGATACTCCCTCCCCAAGTTGTCCTTGTCGCTGAATAGACACAATCCTTGGGCACATGGATACCCATGATGCCAAGCCCCTGTACGCTAGGAAAAATTCTACTTGGCACTAACCCTCCCACTCCCCCCAAAAAGTCCTACTTTCTCCTGAGGCAGGGATATCAGGAAAGTGGGGTAAGGAGGACATGTTGGCACTCACTGTGTGCCACACCAGCCTCCACAGTGGGCTGTGCCCCTCGGGCACTACCCAGACTACCACTCTTCACCAGCCGCCCAGTGGGAGAGGCTGGGTCCCGAAGGCTTCGCCCTGCCCAGGTGGTCTGGCGATGAAGGGGACGGGTCGGGGAAGGCCGCTCCAGGCGGGGCTCTGCAAAAGAGCTTCAGGTAGGTACAGTGTCTGGGGACGACAGATAAAGATCCCTGCCTCCCTCCCCCCACCACTGCCAACATACAGACCTAAGGTGGGGAAGGCATGTCTTCATTATTGTGCCTGCTAAGCAATACTCTTTCCAACCCTCAAGCCCAAGCAAGGACTCTTGCCCAATACATGTTCCCCCAGCCTGGACCTACCCAGTCCCTTTGGCCTCCCTCCATGCTATTGCCCCTCTGCCCACCTGGCTGGGAACTTTTTCCCTCCCTCAATGCCTGTTCCTGCTGCTTTCGCTCCCGAAGGGGCTGACGGAACTGAGCAGTTCCCAGGACCACATTCCGGAGCTTGGCCCAACGTAGGCGGCCACCTGCGGTGCCAGACGGCCACTTGCTTTCTAGTACAGCCTGCAGGACAAAAGCACCTATTATGCTAAGACAGATTACTCTCCCCTCCATGCCCCTAAGAATGCACCATGCCAGCCTGTGGGGAACATCCCTACTGGCTCCCAGGGCTGACATTAAAAATCCTATCCCTTCCCTACCCCACGTCTATGGATAACCCACAAATATTCCACCTAGGATATCGTTGCCCAAGTTACGAACTTGGGGCACAGTTACAAACAGGGTCAGAAACAAATAGCTAGCAGGCTCCTCCTGAGAGGACACATCTCCTGGAGGGGATGGGAGGAGAAGAAATTCTGTCCTTAGGAAGAATGCCCTGGAAGAGGAACATGATGCTCGAGGGCAGCAGAGCTGCTTGGGGACTTCCCTAGCCTGCCTGTTATCTCCCCTCGAGGCCCCATCCTCCCACCCCGCCATCTCCATCCCCAGCGGTAGGCACCTTGTTGTAGTAACCATAGGTGATAGTGTTGGGCACAATGCCTGCCCTCCTCATGTCCAGCATGACCCGTACAGACAGCACAGGCTCTCCGTAGTGTGAACAAAGCTGCATTAGCACACGGTAACACACCTGGGGGCAGTTATGCAGGGCGAGGGATGAAGAGGGCCTGACTCAACAACAATGCAGGACTCAGCTGGCCCTGCCTCAGCCAGGCCTCCAGTCTTATAACCACCCATTTCAACTTACTCACTATCTCCCTTCCCCAAAATCCCCACTCCTTACCACGTTGCTCTTGGCCTTGGTCCTGTGCACCCCAAACCAGGGTCATCCTCCTTTTGCTCCTAAATCTTTGTTATCACTTCATCCTCCTTCTTCTCTCATGTACCCCCATTTCTTCCTATCATCACCATAGGCCCCCAATATCGTTTTTCACTCTGACTTCTCTCCATCTTCTCCCAACCATTTTTCCCTCTGCCTTGATACCCCTTGTCTGATGCCCACCTCATCAGGCAGCACGACCTTTCGGCTTTCCATTTGTCGAAGCACCTGGTAGGCGGTATGTAGAGCCCGGACTCGAGAAGAGGCAGACCGAACATAGGCAGGTAAACACAGGAACCATAGCCCATAACAGTGCCCCAGCAGGCACCGTGCCCATAGCTCAGGCACTGCTGCTGACTTCTGGGCCATTCGCTGTGCGACTTTCATCTCCTGCCAGAGCACCAGGATGAGAAAAGTGTCAAGAACATGAGGCCAAGGGAGGCCTATCTCAGACAGGTACTTAGGACCAGAGAGGATACCTAGGTCAGATGGACATTTTTAATGTTCTGCTCAAAGCCCCCAGGCAGAAAAGTCCATGACGCAAGAACAGAAAGACATTTCTAAAGGTTGGGGAATATGTGAAAGATGACACCTGAATGCCCAGGAAGAAGGGACAGTATCTGGGTTCCCAAAGGAAAACATAATGGTCAGGGAGGGTGGACATTGCCCCTCCGGGACCACTGATGTTCAAACACGTAAGCACGGATGAGGAATAATCTGACTCCAGGATCAGAAAGAGTAGACACAATCCCGGGAGTTTGTAATAGCCCCCTAGTCCCCAAAATTAACATGCACTGATTACCTGTTTGGTACGTCGTGGAGCAGGGCTACTGGGTGCACTTCGAGAAGGGCCTGGTGCAGGAGAGAGTCTAGGCTGTTCCCGGGGGGACTCAAACAGTTCGGGCCGAAGCTCAGGGAACCCATCATAACTGGAGGGGGTCACAGGATGGCACATTCAGTGGGGAGCAGCCATAGGGGACTAAGGAAGCTTGCAGGGGGATTTAAGGGAGTAGAGATGGGGGTAGGGAGAGGAAGAAAAGGATCTCACCAGTACAGAGGAGTAGACTCACTGCCCTCAGCCACTATGGGCTCCTCAGGAGGGGTGATAAAGACTGTGAGTTCACTCCCTGATGGCTCTTCTAGCTCCACCAAGGGCACAGGCTCCGGCTTCTCTTGCTCTGGGTGAACCTGAAGGGGAGTTAGTATGGAGGTGGGCACAAGGCTTGTTGAGGGGTGTCACAAAGATGGAAGAGGCAGGGGAGACACAAGGAAGCTGGGTAAGAAAAGCAGCTAAGTCTGGGGAAAACTGAAGGGACAGAAACACAGCTTGAGAACAGAGACATAGCCTGAGAAGTGGAGAAACACACAGCTTGAAGTACAAGGGAGTACACAGACATGAAGAAAAAACATCGACATGAGGTGATGAGAGGTACCTTGTCAACACACGAGTCAAAGAACTCCAGGGCAGCATGGCGGGAAGAGCCAAAGGAGCATTCCTCAATGAACTGTGAGAACATCTGCGTGTGTAGCAGCTGGGCATAGAATTTGTGGCTGGAGCGTTCTCGGGACTTTAGGAAACCTGAGGGTGAAAAGGAGGGTGATCAGGTACCCCAGTGATGCCCACACTTCAGGGAACTATTTCCAAAGAGCACTGTCTATTGGCCCTACCTAACTAATGCCTATCTGGGACCTCCCCTCCCTGACACGGTAATAATAAGGTTTTACTTTGCAACTTGGCGCCATTGCCTAGCCCCACATTACCTTGTATCTGCTTTCTACAGACCCTGGGTTGACTTCCTTCCCCTCCTCCCATTTCCCCTCCCCCCGCAGTGCCTACCATGGCCTCTAGCACATAGCAGGCTTTAATGGCAATTAAATGCTTTATTGATTAAATGACAGCTGACATTTATGTAGCACTTGAAGGTTTCCAAAGTCCTTTACATAGGTGATCTAGTTTGATCCTCACAACAATCCTGTGAAGTAAGTAGTCCAGGTTTTAGGATGCTTCCTTTATAGATCAAAGGGTTGAAACTCAGATTAAGAGAACTACTCAGAATCATACAACTCCTATGTTGGTGATAGGATTCCAACCCAGGTAAGGCTGGTAGGGCTCTACTAATGCCAAATCCAGCACTCTTTCCACAAGGAAGACCTGGGTTCAAATCCTGCCTCAAACATCTACTAGCTGTGTGAACCTCAGTCTTCTAAACTATAAAGTGTGGATAATAATACCATCTACCTCATAGGGTTGTTGTGAAGTTCAAATGAGTTTAATGCAAAGCATTTTATAAAGATATACAAATGTGAGCAATCACTGCCACACTGCCTCAGGCAGGCATGATATGAATCTATCATTTCCTTGGCAGGCTTTCCTATAAATGCTCCCTGTGGTATCACCCCATCCCAGGACTGGCCAGCTCTGCTCCCCTATTAACTCCTCATCGCCCTAGAATTGATGGTTAGAGTTCTGTTCAAATGGATCATTATATTTAATCTCTGACTCTTAGGTGTTGTTTTGTCTCCCTAGTCAAACTGTGAGCTCCCCAAAGACAGAGAGGGTCGATGGCCTTATTGGCCTACCACTGCTCCCTACCTGTCTTTGCCAGGGAGATCTTGTGTATCTCTTACTGCCCAACTCTGTGTTCCCTGAGCCACCAGACCTCACCTATCTCACCTCACATCACATCGCTCTGGGGGCTCTGCCGCTCTGCACCCTTACCCTGAAGGAAGAAGAGGTTGTCCACATCACGAGCACTTTCCGAGGGTGCCTGGGTGAGCGGTCGGAGGAAGGCCCGATAGCCCTTAAGCAGGCAGGCCGTAAAGCGAAGGAAGGCACCCTGGACTTCCCGCTCCAGCCGTGCCCGTCTCCCACATACTGCCTCGTAGTCAGTCAGCAGAAACTCCAAAGATGCCTCCTCCTCAGGCCTCGTGTATGCTGGGGGACAAGGAGATGAAGGCAGGGTAGACATGATGTCTGCCTCGCTTCCCACCCTGCCACATGCATTCTACTAACTCTCCTTCCCTCCAACAGCAGGATAGAAAACTATCCCCAAATGACAGTTACAACTACCCCAACCATGCCTTCAATGTCTCCGTCATATTTGTATGCTTTTATACATTCTCTAATAGTTTTTGTTCTTCCCTCTTGCTAAAATGAATTTTTTAAGTCCACTTACTCCCTCCACAACTTCTAGCTTCCCTAAATCTCCCCATATAATCTTCAAGTCCTCCACAATCCCTTCAAATGTTAACTTATAACTATGACTCCCAAACGATGACAGGTGTAAGGCCCCCGTGATGCTTACTCTGGTCCAGCTGCTGGTGGAGGGTGGTCAGGGTGTTCAGCAGCACTTTGTATGGCCGGCGGGGAAGGGCCCTGGGCGAGAGCAGCTTCTTCTCTTCTGTTCTGTGAGGCACACGGCAGAGAAGGGAATGTAATCCACCTTCTTCCCTATGCCTAAAATGCCCCCAACTCTGTGGCTGAAGTCGCTTTTCTGGAAGGGGGCCAGAGCCCTTGCTCGTCCTGATACCTCACTCACACCCACCCTCATGTCAGTGGCCCTGAGCCCACCCCAACTATGCCTGCACCTTCTACCTTTGCCAGCCCCACCACCCTCAAGCCACAGCCACCATCCTTCTCACTGGAAGAGTGTGTTGGTGTCAAGGTCAACGCAGATGACATCAGCAGGTGGGTCATGCAGGTCGAAGTAGCTGGAGTGGATGCCCACGATGAAGGGTACAGGGGCACTCAGCACATCTGCCAGCACCAGTGGGCAGAGAGGGATGTAGGGGCACTGCCAGTGCAGTGGGAAGATCATCTGGGGCAGGGGGTAGGAGGTGAGAAGGGGTAAACCCTGGGGTCCAGGGAAAAAGTGGGGCAAACAAGGGGAAGGGCCAAGAGGGTGAAGGACTGGGAGGAAGAACAACTACAGAAACAGGGACCCAGGCTAGGACTCTGTAAGACTGAAGAAAGGAAGAGGGAAGGGACCCTGGCTAGGAATCTGCCTAGGAGGTGCTGGTGCTAAGTGAGAACATGTTCTCTGGGTTAAGTCTCAGAAAGGAGAGGTGGAAACCAGAGGGGAATTTTGAGAGGGGTCCAATGGCCTAAGGGAAGGTTTTGGCTCGGAGTGATTTTCCAAGGTAAACATAATTCTTGAGGAAGTATCCTAGGAAGTATTCAAAAGAAAGTTCTGGAGACCAAGGTAAGCGAGGATAAGGGACTCACAGAGACCAGGGCCTCACAGACACTGGTGAGCAGGTCAGGCCGAAGAGAGTGAACCAGAAGTTTATGCTCAGTAAGGACGGCAATCAGCAGAGTTACTGCCAGCTCAGGTCCCAGGCTCTGTAGCAGCTGCAGGAAGCTGGCACCACTGCAAGGCAATGCCCCACACTCAAATCCAACAAGTCACCAGGAAGATCCCCTAAAATGTCTTAATCAGTTTCAAGAAAAAGACACCACTCTAGACCCTCAGGCAATAGCCTAATCTCTGGAAGGAAGGACAGCAATTAGATCTCGGCAGTGCCCTCTGCCTGTCTAGTGGGTAGTGCCCAACTTGAATCCCAATACCCACTCTCCACCCATTTGAGTACATACCTCAGAGGCAGGGGAGATGAAACAGGTTGACAGAGAAGCAGGTTGTCATAGGGAGACATCTGGGGGTGCAGAAGACAGAGCCATTAGTGGCTAGGGGAAAGTTTTGCAATCACTGAAGCCCCATTGTCCTGCCCCAGGCCAGGCCCCAGCTCTCACCTGTACCAGGATACGGGGTCTCTGAGGGGAGGGGAAGGGAACATTGTGCATGAAGTGGGAGATGTGCCTGGGAAAGGTGGAGGGGAGAAGGTAGCAGGTCAGGGAGCAGATCTCCCTCATCTGTACCCCATCCTCTAGCCCCTCTACCCATTTCCCCTTAGGTTCTCAGTTCCTTCAAATTCCTTTTCCCTTTAATCTTCTTGTCTCCTTCACTTTCCCACTTGCATCATCCCGCCTCTCCCATGCTCAGTAACCCCTTTTACCTCCCAAATCCCTCCCATCTTTCTCTCCCCAAGGGGGCCAGCACTCACGCTTCCAAGGGCAATCGGTGGGGGCCAGAGACAGAGTATCGATAAAGGAAGGTGAGGAAGGCATGGAAAGCAGAGAAGGCAGGCCATCGGGATAGCACTGCCACAGCCCGGCGGCTGCGCACAGCCCGGCCACCCAGTGCCCGGCCCCGTTCCACTGCACTCAACAGCCCCAGTGCCCTCGCCTGCCGCTCTGACAGCCGAGCCTGTGGGAATGCCTCATAGAACTGCAGAGCTGCCCCATACACCTTGAAGGAGGACAGAGGGTCAGATGGGCTTCACTCATCACTCCCTCCCCAGCACCATTATCTCCTCCTCCTCACTCCTATCCTACCTTGTCACCAGCAGCACCTGTGAGCACAAAAGTGGAGAAGACGGGCACTGGGTATTTGGTTTGGGCAGGCCAACACTCAATAGTGGCTCCCATAGGCAGGCAGAAGACAGGCACAGACTCAGGCAGCGGGAATGCCTCATTGTCCTGCTCTGGGTACCGGCCTAGCAATTCTGGGTACCAGGCACGGAATAAGAAAAAGGAGGTTCTGTCAGACTCCAGAAAAGAGTACACAGGCCACAACATGGGAAGGGCACATGGGCTAATATATTACAAGGTACAGGGGAGAAGGTGGGCACTCAAAGACATGGGGAGGCACGTGGAGAAAATACTACTACTAACAAAGGTTCAAGTAATGTATTAAAAGTACCTGAATCACTAGGTTTTGCAGGGAGGGAATGGGTACCATGAACAGTGGGAAAATTTTTAAAGTTTTAAAAAGAAAGATTATGAGAAGAGAACACATGGAAGGATGGAGAAATGGAATGAATATAGAGCCAGCAACCAACCTGCCTCATAGACCAGTGTATTAGCCTTTGCCAGGCCCACCTTGTAGCACAGGTA